GTGGGGGCGATATGCTGACTCTGTAAATCGCTTAGAGAGGGCTGAAAGCCCTATGAAGCGGTATATAAGTCTAACTGCTATTGCTATTGCTAAAATAAAAAACGCCTGAAAACCCTGGTCTTAAGCTTCCTCTGTACCTTCTTTGCTTCATCATCTACAATCTCATTTTTCTGATAAAATCTTTTAAGTTTGGTCCATTACATCCAAAATATCCTGATTTAAGAAGTGTGTAGAACCTGGACAAGGAAGAGTAGAAAATTCAGATCATCTTGTGATAATATTCAATTCGATAGGGGCTTTTTTCCCCCCACACAGAGGGATATTGGTAACTATTTAATAAATGGATAAATTGAATGAACCCATTAGTTAATTTATTTATAAACCAGGCTTGCCACAAATTCTTGATTTACTTAAAATGTAAGTTTTGGTATAAATGATCTCTAAGCACCATCTTATGTATTGTAGCTTTGCTTATACCTCATGGGGGAATTCTTGTAGGCCTATATTGTTGTAGGTGTAGGAATGGAGAAATAGTAAAAAATTATTTATTTTAGAGGAGATTTGAAAACACAGAAAGGACTTGCGTAGATCATGGGTTGCATTAGTTCTTTGAGTTTCCTTACAGCAAACTTTGCTGGTTATATTAAACGTAACTTTCAGATACATGCTTTTGAAGCATACTTTTGGGGTTGGTTTTTTTTTTCTTTCCAAGAACATTTTATGAGTCAATCTTTTTAGCAAAACTAGACTCTAATTAGCTTTCTCCGTGTGAATTGCTGCTTTTTAGTTTCCACAGCACCTTCTTTCTCTGACAGTCAGTTTTCGCGTCCGGAAAAAATTAAGATGATGAGCAAATCGGTCCCAGCATTTCTTCAAGATGAGGCAAGTTTTTAATCTCTCTTTAAGAAAAGCCATAATGTTGATTTCGCTTTAAGGTTGTGCTGTTTTAGTAAAATGTATGGCAACTACACTCTGAAAACAGGAGGGGCAAAGAAATGAAGCTTGCCGTTTTCCTTTTTATTGCAATCAGTCTGAATATTGTAAGAAAGAAAATAATGGAAGGATGCCTTGGAGAATCCTATTAAGAAAGCAGCACTTTTTCTTAGTGGTTCATAAATAAGCCTTTATGCACCAGATTTGGTTGAACAACTGCTTTCAAAAATTGAAATAATCATCTGTTTCAAAGACCACATTTTCTTTTCTCTAAAGGCCAGGTTTTTTTTTGACAAGATAAACTAAAATTGTAATTTGTATTGTAAAAATGTGTATTTGACTGCAAAGGAAGGCAGTCCCCTCTGATTGCTTTTCATCCAGTTAGGATACTTAGCAAATTATCACCCTATTAGATCACTTACCCAATTATTTCTTCAATTATTTATTTCAGGGGTGTCAAACTTGCGTCAACAGTTCATCACGTGACGTAGAGTGACTTTTTTGCCCCTTCACTAAACCGGGGGTGGGGGCGGCCAGCGTGTGATGCATCTGGCCCGAAGCCCGCGAGTTTGACACCCCTGATTTATTGGGCTACTAGGTTTATTTGGGGTTCCGGACACAACTGCCTTTGAGGGTCTTACAAATGCACAATAACAACAACAGCAACAACAACAACAATAATAATAGACATTGCAATACCTGGTGATGCACGAATTGAAGATAAACAGCAAGAAAAAAATCACAAAGTACCGGGACTTGCAAATCTATGTTGAGCGACTGTGGAAAAAGAAATCCTGTGTTGTTCCAATTGTAATTGGAGCCCTTGGAGCAATTCCTAAAAGGCTACCTCGCTATTT